GATCCGTGCTTACATACCGCCATTGCTCAGGTGATGATGCCTCATGGATTGTTGTCACTCGATTGGCCACGAAGGTGTGGAAACGCTTCGGTTGGTTCCTGATATACTGCAGGACAAGCAAGCTGTCTGCCCAGAATGTGGATTTACCAATATCCAGATCAGTCTCCTTTCTGAGCCTGACGTCCTGCTGAGCAGCAAGCGCAGCCGCATACAGCTCAGGTCTTAGGATAGTCATTGCCTTCACGATGCTAGACGTGACTTGCCCATGACAAAACTGCAGTGGACCTTGCCAGTCGAACTGACAAAACGGGCAAAGGACAAACATCCATATACATTTTTGGAGAGAACCCGAAAGAACAAGAACCCGAGTGGATCGTAGACAGAGCTTACTTAGCAGACCTCGCCGAGTATGACTTCTGATCTTAGGACCCAAACTGAATCATCTTCAGCATACCAGAGGATTCCAAGAGCTCGGTCTGCCGGTAGTGATTCTCGGTCCAGGTCTACGCCTCTAAGACTCTTTGCTCTCTCCTGCTGAGGGATGGCTTCCAGGACCTTTCTGGAGTTGCTTAATCACTTTGTCAAGTGGAACCCTCCACATGCCAGCAATTTTGTCGGTTGTTCAACTATTTTGATTGCTTCTTCCACTGACTTGACTCTTTTCAAGCAATCATCGAGATATAAGTTCCTCTTCACAGTCTCTACCACGTCGTGGTCGAACTTATCATCGTCAGCCGTCCTTTGAAGGGCAAGTTGGCACAGCTCGGGCTCCAAACCCCGCCGAATGGATGGACAGTCATACGGCAGATCTCTGGTAGCTGAGATAAGCCACCACCTGGCCACCAAAGGAACCCGCTGAGTACATCCCTGTGCCTCTCAACAACACTGACCAACACCGGGAACAATAATTATGGGATGTATAGACACAACTAAAGGGAGCGCTTCTTATTGACTTCCGTTAAAAAGGAACATTTTCAAAGAAGAAAAAAAGTCAACACTAAGGTAAAAAATAGCGACTATAATAGCCAAGGGAAATAACTCAAAGATCTAATTACAGTGGTAAAAAAGAGTGATCCAACTGCCTTGTCCTTCCCCAGCATAGCAATTGACCGATATTTCCGTCTCGCTCGGCAAGGTCCATCGACAGGGTGACATTCATCGCTAGCTGCTGCTGTACCAAATGTCAAGTTCATCTCATTATTGCAAACGGTGCCAAACATGTACATATATCGACCTTTTTCCATGGATCCATTTTGAATGTCCCACTTTCATGTTTCATTCTGTTTGCTTGTGCGGTATAGTACCGAAATTCAAACAATGGTCGTAAAAACTGCCATAATTGCCGACCCTTCTAATTCAATTAATTTATCGGCGGTCTTCGAACAGAAGTAGAGCAAACCATTCTCAGCGCAGCATAATTGAACACAGTTACAGAGTACCATCTTGGAAAGCCACCGCCAGTTTCATATTTAGTCACACACGAGTGAGCGCTTTCAGTTTTAATATTCAGCAATGAAAACAAAATGGATGAAGCAGATTCCAGGTCGTGAGAAAAAGTAAAGCCAAGAGACACGAAACCTACCATGCATACCATTTGAACAAAAAATGGATATCAATTAAAACTCAGATATCATGCGTCCAGACAAAACTGGGGCATACGGTAACTTCCCTTATGCGTAATTATTCTGCGATGCGAACCACGATGTTGCATTGATTTGTGAACAAAAAATGCTAGGCTTTATACACTTCACTCTAGACGATTTCCATTTCCTTTGGCAATTTATTTCATTAAAAATCACTGCAGTGTTTCTTTAATTTTCTACACTTGCAAAGCCATGGATTTTTCTGACAATCGTTATAGTTGACAGGTGCGTTATTAATTAATCAATTATAATTAAGGACAGGTGTATCAAATGATAGAATCAAAAATCGAATATGTTCAACAGTAGCTTGGTCGGCTACACAGCACAAAGTTGCTGCAAATGATAAGGAATAAGAATGTGTGCAATCTTGAATTACACTGAGAACAGTATTCAATATAATGTCACAATTTGAAACCGCTCAACTTAACTTTTGGGACAAAATTAGAGCACCGATGATATATGATCTAAATATTCAACTGAACAACTAAACGGAATATTATTCACATTTCAAATATGTGTACATGTGCAGTGATGACTTGAAGCTCTCGCTCATGGGTCTTTCGATCGCGCATCGAATACGATCGAATACAGCAGCTGGGCATTATGCGCTGGTCTCAGGCAAGTTGCTTTTACCTGTTTTGCCTCTCTTTTTTTTATGGTTACCCCTAAAATGGCGAAGATGTTTATCGTGACCGAGTAGACACCTGCCCTTAAAATGACGATATTGAGCTGTGTACATTCCCCAGCGAGCTAAGAATGAGCAGAGATAAAAAAAATGATTAATCACCTCGAGCAACATTCCTGGTAGGATGCATAATGTATAAACATATCTTACTGTTTATTATTATAATCATATGTATGTATTTGTTTTTTATGTTTTTTTGTGTCCAAATTATGTTCATATGCTATCCAGTTGTATACGGCATTTGAATTCCAGCTCAAAACTAACGAAACATTTTGCCTATGTTTGAACTGAGTTGGTCATAAATTATGTGTTGGCCTGGAAAATTCGGCGGAATATTCTTCGCGTACAGTAGTTCATTGAAAGGCGATAGGAAATCGCATTCAACTTAAAATTCGTGCTAAAAACGAATGACTTTGAGAGCTTGTTTTGGTGACAATATGTGTCAAAATTGAATGAGAAAACCCATAGTAAAGGTAAGGTTAATATAGCTCAATATTTCACACTTATTCGACGGAAAGATACTTAAAATGTCCAGTCAGATTCCAAGTTGCATTTATACATGTAGGTTCTCATTCATTCTGCTCTACAGCAACTTCGCCTCGCGTTGCCTATTCAGGGTAGGCCTATTATAATCTCCAAAAAGCAAACTCGTTTTTTGCCATTCAAGTTAATGCGAATGCAATCATTCGTATCCAAGGAAAATGTATGTTTACGTACAGTGACGCACGTCTAAGGAGGAGATTGAAAGGTGAAAATAATGCAATGTCTGATTCCCAAACTCAAGCGAAACAAACGCCACTTGTTAATTCCTTATGATGGAGCTGCAAGTATTATGTATGAATGTTTCCATGCGACTTTCACTTTTTTAAAGGTTAAGAGAATAGATACAATGTTAGATTACACTTTGTTTCACTGAAAAGAGCAGAAGCGCAAAAGATCCTTTAAACCATCGCGTTCAGTCTGTGAAATGACGCCAACAAAAACTGAATGACCAAATAACTAAACTGAATAACAAAAGACGAATTTGCAGTTTTTAATACCATCCTCTCTTAGTAACAAAAATGAAATCTAATAAAGTGCATATTCGGAATCGATTTCCACTTACCAGTAACGTTGCAACAACGCTGAAATACCGTTTTATTGAATATCTTTGTTAACTGAACAGGAAAATGTTCTATTTTTATCAAAATGTCTTGCATTGATGAGCTGATCAAATTCCGTGCCACGCAGTCCGAACGGAACAAGGCAATATTGTAGGTGTGTCACAAGTGACTAAGAATAAACATTTCAGGTCAACAGACACGTCTGCAGCGTATGGTGATCTATAGCCGCCAAAATTGCGTTTGCTTCGTCCCATCACCCCGACGTCACGACGCAACGCCACAACGCGACGCTCCGACGGCTCTGTCGCGTCGTGCCGTCGCGTCGTGGCGACGGGACGACACGATGCTACGACGGCAAGACGGGACGTCACGACACGACAGCAAGACGAGCCGGCATGACCTGACGGCATCAAGAAACAACACACAACGCCACGACAGCACGACAGAACGCATTAAACACGGGATAAAAGTAATGAGAAAGGAGGCGTCGCGACGCAATTTTGGCGGCTATAGAACACCATAGCAGCGGGCAGTAACCTACCTGTGTGACGTACTTCGCGTGAACTCCTAATCTTCAAAGAGTAGCTTTACAGATCATTAACCGAACCCCTGTCACAAATGAGACGATGTATTACTATTGCATCGATCCATCAGGGAGAACTATACCACTGGACGGTAAAACATTTGCTAGGTCAGAAACTGCCTCACGTTTTTGAGTTGACAGAAATGGACTAATGATATTTAACATAAACCCCATCACTTTCGTCTGTAATTTTTTTTCATTTATTTGAGTGGTTAAGGGAATTCTTAACACCTGTGTCTAAACATTCGGTACATTATCACTGCCCAATTACAGATCACAGGATACACTTTTGATTCTGCAAAATACTACACTTTATATTTAATTATTGTGGTCGTAACAGATCTATGATTGGTGAATTGAGTATATAGTAATAAAAGCCATTTCCATGACTTTGTGCTCTCGATCAGGAAATGCTTGTGGTTTGACCATTTCGGTGTGTCAAGGTGAAAGGTGTCGCCTATGCGATGGACCGGAAATAAACACGTGTGTGCCCGAGCGCTAACGTACTGTACTCGTGAAACATTCGTGACAGCGGATTCTGCCACTAAAGGGAGAGAGTGCAATTTCGATGCTGACAATCGAAGCATGTACATTAATTTCCAGAGAATGCTGCATGCATTTCACACTATAATCTTCTATGGCATTATGCTGAAACGATAACACCCGTGAACGCCGAAGAAAACTCCATTATGCGTTTTTTCAGCCGTCCCACGAATTCTATTCAGTGTTAGGATTGAGAGCCCTTCCCGAGTCTTGACTTCTCAAGGTCTTGGAAAATAAGATTAAATTCCATAGGGTTCTGAATACAGGGTTCCTGTTGTTTTGAGAAGATATGGACGAAGAGACAGCATGAAAAGTTGTTTGCAATATGAGGTAAAAACTTTGTCAATGGACTGGCAATTCCATAAGCAATGCCTATGGAGGTGTAGGGCGTACTCTTTACCACAAAATAATGAGGTGAACTGTCTCAAGGAGACTCGGGAACCTTAAGTAATCGTGTCTTGGTCCCTCCGCCGGGACCGAATTCGGCAACAGCAGCCAAGGAGTCTATTGGCTGTCTTCCTGAAGGATCGGTTCCTTGTATAGTAGATGATGACATTCCAGACACTGTTTAGGAACAACAGGATCTGTGAAACAAAGGCCAGTGCTTCGGGGACCGGGTCAGTGCGGAGATTTTCCCAGGCAATGGTGGTGTAATACGGCGTCCAGGAGACAGTCAGCACCACGGCCATGATGAGGAAGGTCCGTGCGGCTTTAGCATCGGGGCTCTTGCGAGTGCGCAGCCGTTCCTTGTGTTGGGTGTCTAGGGGTGGCTCCACCTGTTCAGGCTTCGAAGCTACGTTCTCGGTGTCTCGACCATCTGAGTTAATTACCCCCAGGGTTATATTACCGACTCGAGAGGCGTGGCGATTGGCCAGTAGGAACAATCTAGCATGCAATATGACTGTTACCAAGAGAGGTACAGCAATGAAGACAGTCATTCCCAAATGACCCAGAAAATCGGTTCCCACCACGAAGTCGATAAAACATTGGTTGAAGTTGCTGTAGTAGAAGGATTTTCGGCCTGGGAGTAGTACATACAACAGGGTCCATAACAGTAAGATGGCGACTATGAAGATCTCAACAATGGCCGCTCTAGCCATGGTAACAATGAATGGGTATCTCAGGGGCCATATGACCGCGATGTACCGCTCGATGTTGATGGCAAGCACAGACAAACCAGCATTGAAGTACAGCGCGTGGCACATGGCAACCACGGTGCAGTAGGTGTCCCCGTACGGCCAGCTCTGCAGGGCCGTCGACCCCACGATTGGAATGCAGACGAGCACACCGACCAACAGATCGCTGGTGGTGAGCGATATCAGAAACAGCTTGGTGACGGGGCTGACTCCGTCGTGCGTGTACCGTAGGACAATCAAGCATGTGGTGTTGCCCAGGAGGATAGACGCGGCAGTCACGCCTAAGAGGCACGCCTTGATGACAGAGACTACGCTGACATCGTAGGGGCTCTGTGATGTCATCTCTCCGTCCGTGCTAGTCTGAAAATCCATGCCTTAATCTGTATCTCGTAAGGCCTTAAGACAAGCAGTAGACGTTTCCTTTCGAGACCTGCGGAAGGAAGACGAGAATGTTTTACCAAAGCACATTCCGAAATCCCCCTCAATGCGAAGTTGGTCAGTTACCAGTTGCGGTGGATACGATCATCTCATCAAAATTGATGGACGACCATAGGCAGGAAAGGTCACCCCCGGCGTGTTCGACGAATGAAAATAAATGCATTGAGATGTTAAATGGTGGGGCCCTGCCAATGTCGACCCGTGGTAATCTAGAATCTCATATGTACCTATTCTGCTTCATGGCACACCTGTAATGCAAAGGAACACTTCCCCCTCTCTGCACAGTAGACAAATTTAATTTACTGGATTCCGGAGAGACCGAAAAGCTACACACTGATGACTGCACAGCAATATTCAGCTCTGTTCTGTTCGGTTGTTCCCTTCATGCATGTGAGAAATTACCCAGCCACGAATTACCTGCTGGCCCCACTTACAGTTCCAGCACCACAGAAGAATCACACAAACAAGTCGTGACACAACTGTACAGTGAGTCCTTACAGTTACCAGTTAGAAGAAATTCAACGCGCGGCAGACAAGTTTACACACGAGCCTCGACATTCATTATCTACACGGCAACCTGCTAAAGTCCAGTGCATCAAGGAGATCTCCCCCGATCTTTCATTCGCGGGTATGTGTGTTCTAGGCAACCAATCGGTGTCTTGAGCCTCGTCGCCTGCATGCAGCTCATCTTTTCCTGTTGTCGTCAAGGATGTTGTTTTTTTTTTCCTTAAATGAATGATGCGGGTAAATGAAGCAAACAAATTATGAGAGCATAAATTCGCCGAGTTATTTTCTCGGGTAATACATGGGATATTGCCATGTCAGGATGCTAAAGTGATTCACAGAATTTATGTCATGTGAGGGCGGTATAAATGTCCTCGGATCAGGGCTGTTCACAGAGAGATTTATAGGAGCCTCAATTGTTGGAACCAAAATGGTGGATTATGCGTCAGTGCACATTGCCAAAATTAGCACGCAATAGCTGCATGCTTTACTGTACATATAATGACTAGCCATTTTGGTTCCAGAGTCTGAAGTACGCGCATACAGCTATGCCTCGTATCATACTATGCTTATTAAAGTAGGGAAAAATACAACTGTGCGTATAGTCTTTGAAAAACATAGAAAATCAAAACACATTATCTCATATTGCAACATGTATTATATTATTTGGGGGGGGGTAATCGTATGTCATTTTAAAGATTGACCCATGCGTAATTTCAACAGATGATCAAAACGAAGCGCGTCGTTGGTCATTGGTGAACATCAATACAAAAGTGAGGTGAGCCCTATCAGGGCGCCAATACGTTCCATAAAATAACTCTATGGCCGTTCTCTAATATTCATCTTCGTCTGTGTCTCAGGCTTCGTCTTTGAAACCAATCCCCGTTTGTTGGCCTGAAGCGTTTTAAGTAAATGGAGGTACTGTAATGTTTGGCTCTTTTCCATCTTACTTTATGTTTTGTTGCCCTACCACACTTACTTTTTGCACTTACAACTTCGAAGCCAGGTAGTAGAAAAGTAGTTGAAGTCTGAGACGACGCCAAAGTCGAGTACATGTTTTGGAAAATGGCCTATTATGCCATACACCGAATCCCACACAAGGAACGTGTTCGAGCTGCTGTGGTATCAGGTGTATTGCTCTGATATGACCCTTTTGGGGGTGTGTGTGTTTAAATATACCAAACTGGCTCTCTGTTTCCCTCTAGGTTGACCACCTTACAGTACAGAAGTCTATCGACAGTCGGAAACATGTCGCCTCCACGAAGTAGTTTTCTAGCCCGTTCCCAATCCAATTTCACAGGGGGAAAGCTGAAACACTTGTTCACGGCTTCCACTCTCCCTTTTCACTGCCCCTGTTTTCACTGGCAACACCAAATTCCAGTGATTCTGTAGGAGGAGATTCATATATGAGGGCATGAAAACAGTGATGTGGACAAACATTGGCTAATTCGGGCCAGAAACCTATCCTGAAACCCCTCACTCCTCAAAGAAGAGTGCGCCCTCTGCTTCCCTCCTTTTGCAGGGACAGACCGTGTATTTGTTGCCCGTTACTCTAATTTATGGGCATACATACCCAAACACCTTTAAAACGGTTGTCATAGGGGCTTTCAAGTTACAAATTATAAATTTTGAAAAATGACAGATTGCAATATTATTATTACAAACACGAACAAAATATCAGTCTGCAAAATAAAATCATTTTAGACTGTTATTATTATCAAAAAAGAGAAAATGTTGACAAAAAGCGAAAAACAAATTTATGGAGTACCCTGTGACATGAATTATTGGAATCTCATTTCACTAAACGAAAAGTAAACGAAAATTGTTTGCTTGTAAGCAGTTTTTGTAGAGATGTCCAAAGGTGTTAGCTCCGGATTTAAAAAGGACGGCAGATACACTGACTCCTATGATACTTTAAATATATGTAATCAGCAATACAGATAAAACTATTAAATGGGGCACAAGACTTTCTCTTGGGAACAAATACAAAACGTGTGGTTAACAGTCAAAGATAGTGCGATGCCGCGAAGCGGATCTATACTGTCTTTGGTTAACATGCCTTGGCAATAATTAAGCTTATTTCGAGACAAACGTCTTCAAACTGACTGTTTACGTGGTGTTTTGAAGTGGCAAACGCAAGCTAAGCTGATAAATGTCAAAGTCAGTCTCTTTAGCATTGTGGTTCGGCGGTGACTGGGGTTCAGAAGGATCATATCAAGGTGCCTGTAACTGATCGTGACACAGTGAAAAATTACTGGTTATTAAGAGCGGAGGTTCGCATACCGGTACTCTTAGCAACGCCCCTAACTATCCTGCCCACTAGTTTCACTAAAGATGAACTCAAATATCGAATGGAGTATGGGGATCCGAATAAGCCGGTAAGTTGTTCCCCTGTTTTTGTCCCAAAACCCTATTTCTTCTACACTCTCTGTTTCTTCTCGGCCCTATTTTATTGTTCAATCCCGCACCTTTGACAATTGTTTTTCCTTCCACTGTACCCATGCTTGTTAATTAAGCACAATGGGCCCCGATCGGACCTTAGGAATGCGTCGAAAATAATTCTGTTACGCCTTTGATGCTTCCATCTACGCACCTTCTGCAATTAAAAAAATAATAAGCCAGAAGTCAAACGCACATTTTAAAGGTATTTTCCTCAAGGTTGACGATTGGTGGCGCACTGCATGGCGTATCGTGTCTACTGCAGATGATGGCCAACTGAATATTCTCTGCAGTCGCGCTTCAAGCATCGTGCAGTTGCTGCGTCTTTTCGAGGACACCGTAGAGAAAGCGACCTGCACATCGTCAGCTATCACGACTGAAATTAATTTTGCCGCACCAGGGGATTGCAATGTAATGAGATATGACAGCCCTAGAAACCTGATACTTCCCCTTGTGTGACCAAACCTTCCGCTGGGGGGTCCCTGCCCCCATGCGCCCTCATGGGCATCTGAAAGAGGCCTCTTCCGAAAGGCAAAGCCAAGGGGGTAACTTATCCGCCCGAGTCTCCAATCACCTTCAACAGACGACCGTTTCATATCTGAATACTTGGTAGCTTCGGTATTTAGTTCTTTCAATACGCGTGCAGTTTACGACATCGAGCAAACACTGACGATATCTGAAAATATTCAGTAAGTGCTGTCCATTTCCATTTCCATGAAACCCGGACCATCTTTAAACTTTCTATAACTCTCTGGAAAGAAGTCTTAAATGATCACGTTCCATGGTTTGATTATCTGAAAAAAAATGACATCACGTATATCAGTCAGACTGTTATATAGTGTCCATTACTGGCCATCTTTGCTCTAAAAATAACTTTCGCTGCTGCAGCCAAACGGATCAGTCACACAGTCTTTGGCGAGCCACACTGCATGAGACGGAGTGATTATCGATTTCGCTGGAGCAGAATTCTAAATTTTGAATTACAAATCTTACTTTTCAATTGTATCCGACATGGAGTCATTGCTTGACACGCTTCTTGAGGTTCATTATGATGTATCAGTCTGCATGGTTATTCTGATATCCCACATATAATTTGCTCTTACGCGCCGCAGGTTCTGAAAATGGTACAACCGAGTCAGTTACAACTTTCTCCTTTAAAAGAATAACTCCGAAAAAGGCCTTCATAAAATATTGACTATTGGAACAGAAAAATTGCCTGGCCCGACAGGAACACATCGCGCCAAAAATTGACCTTTCACTTCCGAAAATTGAAATACATGACGATTAGTGCAGTAGGTGCTTGTACTTCAATTTAAAAGTTACTTTATAGTCTTTAGATGTAAAATCTGAGGGAAAACAGGAGACCAAAATAAATATCGCTGTTTATCATTTTTTAAGGAAATAAACTTAAAGGAAGGTTCTTCATTTTGGGCCAATTCTAAAGTCTTATCTAAGTTTCACTGACAAGAACTGCATCGGGCTGGCCGGACTAAATCTAAAGTCCATCGGCTGTAGGTAGATAAATCTTGGTGGTTTTATCAATTCTCGTGTGTGAAGAAAAGACCTGGGAACGATAACGCTGGAAGTAAAGGGTCTCAATGAAAATCTGTTCTTTAACGCCTCTCCAAGTGACTTTCAACGATTTTGCTTGAAACATAGAGATAAAATTCCGAAATGAGTATTTCTTGGGTGGTTTCAGTTGGAGATGGTTCTTCCAATAATTACGTAACATGATAGGGCTATCCCATCTAAAATCCCCACAGGCGAGCCATGTTTATTTTCACACCAGTTTACCAAAATAATCTGCTTGCTTGTTCAAATCCTTCCCTCTGATTTGATGTCATGGGCCATCTCACAGAAAGCACAAACAAAAACAGAAGCACGTCCTTGTGAAAAAAAAGAAAAATGAAAAAGAAAATGAAAAATGAGTCCCTCTTGGCGCGAGCATCAGCTCATAATACGGTCGTCGGGGAAACCACTCCATTTCGGTC